CCCCCCGTTTGTCGCTTTGTCTGATTTTGGATCAGAAACCAGGTCCAGTGTTCAGACTGAGACACCTGGATGGATGTAGAACTGATCTGGTGTCAGGTTGTACCAGAACTCAGATGTGTTCTTCCTCCTAAATGTCATGTGTCTATCTGCTGTACTGATGAAGTTCTGAGGCTCAGAAATGATGGAAAAAGTCCATTAAAGTGATAAACTTTGACCTTAAAGAGCCTGAAACTCTGAAAACAAGAAGCTCTGCGATGTATATAGTTCTGCAATAAAATGTCTAAAAGAAAAGTGACTAATGTGATATATGTTGTTGATTTGTGTACTTACTGGATTCCAAATGTTGAAAAAAACAAATTAAATTGTAATTTCAGTTTGGTGTTTGAGTGCATGAGGGCTTGAAATGGTATGAAAGTCATTGAAAAAGTGCATTTTAACGCAGTTTGTTGTGACATTTCAGCATTTCTACAGACGGAGGCCGAACAGAATCCAGAGATGAAGGCATATTTATTGACAAATACACAAAATATACCAGAAAGCAGAGTTAGGAGCGTCTGACTGGGTCGACTTCTCTCCTGCTCTTCAGTTACGCGGATTAAGACTCATAAATACATAGAAAACCGGGAACAAGGTGCGTTTAAGCCCGTTCGCTTATTATTTCTTTTTTTTTTTTAATAAGAGCAGAAAAACAAATTAGTACATAAAAACCACAGTCTGTAAAAAGAAGCCGTATGATAAACACGAGTAAACGGAGCACATGCTAAAAGAGAATAAATACGAAAATACAAAAACAAATATTAAAAAACAAAAACGTATATATCCGTATTGCTGTGAAGTTTCTTTGGGTTCCAGCTGCATGTTGCATAGCTTCGATAAAAGTCAAGCTTCGTCCAAACTGAGATGATTCCTTCTCTGATAAATCGCTCTAACGTTGCTTTCAAGTCAGCTTTTGTTTTTTTGTTTTTTTATTTAGAAAATCGCTCCAGAAAGACGTCATGTTGGGAAACGTGTCTAGAAACCCCCTGCGTGACTTTAAACTGTCGCCTTAAAGAGCCCATATTCTGCTTTTTTGGGGGCTTTTCCCTTTTCTTCCGATGTTATAGCTGCTTTTTGTGCAGGTTAAAGCTCCAAAGTCAGTGAAAAAACAAATTAACTTCCTCCTTTTTTTCCTGAAACGCTTCATTTTAAGTCCAAGCTTTTCCTACGTCACCTGTCGACATCATCGCGTATCTCATTTGCATAACACCAGCTAACAGCTAGTTTGGCTCCAAAACAAAAAATGAAAAATTTCCTTGCAGTCTGACATTTTCTTTTTTAGTAGAACTGCTCTGAAGGTCGTATTCAACCATGAAATCGTATTATTTTGCAGCATGCTACGGCAGGATTAGCCGATTTATAGCTAACAGAGGCTAACAATGCTAATGTGTAACATCCAATTTTGATGCACATCTACGTGAATGTCTGATGTTTAACGGCAGATTTACTGAGTTTAAGCTGATTTCATGATATTTCTGTTGCTTTTAAAGTGTAACGTATCATAAACTTACTGACTATTTAGATTGTAACGTACATGTTTTGTCACATTGTGAGCGTTTGACTATATTCAAAAGCTTCAAAATTTCAATAAAATACATAAAAAATTGTCTAATTTCTTGTGTCATTTCACTCAAACAGTAACACAAGTCATAATAATGATTTTAGCCCTTAAAATCAAATTTTATCTAAATTAATGTAATAATCACAGTTTACAACTTTAGCTAGCTAAGAATTTCTCTGTTTGTAAAAGTTTGTAAAGTTGTTCTGAAGCTCCACAAGTTGGTGTTTTAGCATTGCATTGTGTTTAATCTAAACTGAAGTTTTTCAAAAATCACCACAATATTTGTGTATTTTCAACAAAATGCAAAATTTCTCTTTTTTTGCGCCTTCAATACGACATTTGTATGTTCTGCTGATGAAGGAGGTGGTTTAAAATGCAGACATAAATCTGAAAATAACGTAACTGACGCTTCCTCGATTTCAAAAATCCAACTGACCAATCAGAGCAGAGCAGGCTTGCTTTGGGGAGGGGCTTCTTAAAGAGACAGTGACCAAAAATGGAGCGTTTCAAACTGCAGCAAAGAACAGTATTATTAGAAAAATAATGTTTTTTGTTTTTTTTCTTTTGTTTTGCACATTTAAGCTTGTAAACATTCTCTGATAGAACCCAAAAAATAAAACTAACAACCTGAACGAGTGCAGAAGACGGGCTCTTTAACGGGACAGCGCCGCTAGCTTAGCGGCTAAGTGCTTATTGTTGGCGGTGAAAACAAAAACAGTTCAATCTTTTGACTGTTGGTTTGGAAAGAAGAAGACTATCTTACAAATGTTAACTAACAAGAAATAAACACATTAATACATTCAGAGCTTTTTGTTGCTTCGACCTCACCTGAACCCTTCGACGGCTAACGTCGGCTAAAGGTGTTTTTTTTAGTTTTGGCATCATGTCGCGATTGTCACTTCTTGTTTCTATCAGCTCAACTTAAAACATCCAAACTTTTTGAGGTGGTGAAGCCAAACTGTTTCCAGTCAAAAAGGCACTTTTCTTTTTAAAACCGTCTCTCTGTAAAAAGCCAGATATGCGAACCGAAGCGCTGCACAGACTGTATATACAAATCCCATAATTCAGAGGCACTGATTTACAAAATTGCAGCAAGAAAGACATAAAAACAAACAAACAAACAAACAAAAACAAACACAGATGTTGGTCCTCTAAAAGCACACTTTTGTTGTCAGGGCAGGTTCGGTTGCTACATACTTAATTTACACGTCTTAAAAAGTCAGTTTATTCTACGTAAAGGCGGTAAATATGAAAACAAGGCACGCGTTGGACCCTGGTCGGAGATGCTGATTCCCGTCGCTGCTGCCGGCATGCTGAAGTCCGAGCATGTGGAGCAAAGTCTGTTTGGTGCTTCCCTTTGTTGGTGGAGGTCCTGGGAGGCGGCACTACGCATGGCTGTGGACGGAGATGCTCGACAGGTCGTTCCTGATGATCTCGTTGACTGCAAAGGAAGAAGAAAGAAAAGCAAATGGTCAGGATTTGTGGCGACGTCTTCAAAGATTTTTCTCTTCTC